AAATCAGTAAGCAGGCAGATAGTATAAATTACCATAAAAGGAGAAATTTTAGAGTTATTTGCTGCGGTCCTTTTTTTTCTTTGCGTTCTGATTTTTTTATTTGCTGCAGTATATTTTTATTTGCTGCAGTATATTTTTTATTTGCTGCGGTATATTTTTTATTTGCTGCAGTATATTTTTTGTTTGCGTTGAGCCTTCTGGGCCACCGTAGTTTGGCCTTTCTGTCTCGGCTTAATCGAAGGGTCTATGGGTAGAGGGGTAGGGGATCAGTTGTCTATCCTTTTACCTGTGCTGGCCCACCAGTGGTGAGGCTCTTCAAGAAGGATATCGCGTGACCCCGTTACATCATCTTATGTCTGTGCCTTTCTTCAAAATGGCGGCTCTGAGAGCCTTTGCAGCGGTTTGGATATCTATCTTTTGGGTCACTGGCATAGACTGTAAACATGACCACCCTGTTCCAACTTATTTCGGCAAACTGCATCCTAATGGAACCATTGTCGATGCTCGAAACCCGGCAAATAAGCTTAGGTTCTCCCTTCCACCGAAACCGATTACGACTCAAGATGCTGGTGCTGTTTTGAAAGTGTCACCTTCATCAGAGATCGAAAACGGCGAGGAGGTGAACGTGATGTGGTCTGGAGTTACTCTTCCAAATAGTAAAGATGTCGTTGCTCTTTATTGCCCACCAGATACCGAACCCAATCATTATTTAGACTTCATCAACGTCAGCAGCATAGCTACTTACTCGAAAGGTTATGGAGAGTTTGGGGTTCGACTTTGGAATTTACGGAAGGAATGTATTTTCAGATACTACAGGATTGGTAATTACTCGATGCTTGAGGCAGAAAGCAACGTTGTTACTTTCGAAGGAGGAGCAGCGATACCATTACAGGGACACCTAGCACTCACAGGCAACCCCACAGAAATGAGAGTTATGTGGGTGTCTGGCCTAAGTAAGTTGTTGAAGTTGAAGTTGAAGTTGAAGTTCATTTATTTTTTTAAGCAGGTTGATTAATTGGCAGCTGTAATAGCTGATGTGGACCTGCTGTCCTAACCCACCCATCCCACCCCAGGGGAGGACATCCATCACACAGTAATCTCGTGTGTGGGAAGTTAACGCGTCTCCTGCCCCAACCCTGCAGGAGACGGGACCTCCATTTATTCGTCCCTATCCGAGAAGACTAGAATATCAAACCATTTCTTGATGTTATAGAAAGGTAGCAAATTCTTCTCAATTATTTTAAGACCTTGAGTGTTGGTCCGGCTGGGGCTCGAACCCTCGACCTCCCGCACTACAGTCCAGCGCTCTATCCATTGAGCTAACCGGGAGGCTTGCAAAGTTTTAAAACAGAGGAAGCATGTCCTGGCTACCATGTTTTTCATGACATGCATACATTAAATATACTACTTTTTCCTTGTGTTCAAAGCTAGCCAACGCCATTTGGTTGTCCCATCTCCACCTACTTCAGAGGTGGCAGAGCATTTGAATCGTGACGAGGAGGTTGTCTTTCACCAAGCCATGCACACGCCTCTACTCAAATTTTCCAATATGCCCATTACGTTGTGCATTGGCACAAGTAAACCTCTTTTCATTCTTTACAGTTTTGAGTATGTTCGTAATGGATGTTTGACTTTCACTTTTTCCAGCACAGTCTGAAATTTAGAAGCTTAGCATTTGATTGGGTTCCCATAGACAAAATTAAATAATGTCTGATCTCCTAGACATGCTGTCTAGTTTAATCGAGAATTGCTTTAGTTGATAAGCTTCTTGAGCACAATCCAGAGCTATTCAAAAAAAATTCTAAACAACATATTATTTTTGTCAAGTGCCATTCTGATGAAAGGATTCGTGAAAAGATCGCAAGATTAAATATTTTGCCAATTTTTATGCTGTGCTAGAAATATTTTCAGTACCAAAACGTGGGGGGCTGTGCCCTCCCAAATTTTTATTTAGGGGGTTATGACCCCTCCTGCTCCACCACCCATGCCCTTTTTTCCAGTCCTAATGCATGTTAAACTATGAGGCTCTTCTGGAATCATTATGGTTTATTCTAGTGAGATTCTCTGTGTCTTTTTACTAGCAAACTATTCAATAAACCTGATGAAATTAAAAGGGGTAAACTGGGAAGGGATCATCCTTGCTATTTGTATGAATTACTGACCAGGCTTGTTTGGTTAAGATGGATATTGGCCAAGTTCTTTAAAAACAAAAAGGAAAAGAAGCTAATCTCCAGCCAGCTTGAGCAAACAAACTTGATCAATAAAGAATTTATAGATGGGTCCATATTGCCCTCATGAGTAGCCACTCAGATTCACAGGATCTGCTTCACATTGCCCACCAGTACTGTCAACTTTATAATAAAATTGGATAAACCTTTAGACAACTCCAAGTAAGAATCCATCATGCAGCATGAAAATGGGTAAACACGGTCTTACTGATACAGTTTATACAGAATATGGTAAAAGCCAGTTATTATCTCAATTTAGATTTTCAAACAAAGTAAATCGATAATTGCTGAGCTTTACTTTTGGTAAATTTATTTTTCTTTCTCCTCTGATGATAGTTATATTGCTTTAATTTGTAGTGGAAACTTCTATTGTAAAATATGGGACTGACCCATCAGCCATGGTGATCATTGTGGGAAATGTTAGTAAAACCTACACTGCTGCTGACATGTGCAATTCACCTGCCAATGATGTCAATAACTTTGTTGATCCTGGCTATATTCACGATGTTCTGCTGAAAAATCTCACACCTGGAACCAGATATTACTACTCTTATGGTTCCATGAAGGTATCTTTTTCAGAACTGAATTATTTACTAAGCATGTACTTTTTTTCTTTTGTTTTGTTTTTTTTTCCAGGAAAATCAGTAAGCAGGCAGATAGTATAAATTACCATAAAAGGAGAAATTTTAGAGGGGGGTTATTAATTTAGCCCGACGTTCACTACCAGGATACAATAGGATATGATGTACCATAGTTATTCAAATATTGTTCTTATTTTACGTTAACTCTGTATAACGTAATCTAATGAGGCCAACATGATAGCATCAATCAATCAATCACCAAAATCAATTTTAAATGACAAACTAAAATTACAGTACTTGAATATATTTATTGTACTGACATGAGTGTTATTTTTAATTTTTGTTTTCTGAGGGGAAGGGGTGAGGGGGCCTAATAAATCTCTTCCTCTAAAGAGGGGGCTCATTAGAGGGGGGGGGGCTTAATAAAGGATTTACAGTAGTTGGAGAATTTGGTATACAGGTCAGAGAATTCTCAAATGTCTGATGTCCACATGACTTTCTGCTTTTTAGGTGAACTTATGGTTTTGCTAAGTGAAAATCATTTAAAGCTAAGCATTTATATGATTCCCAATAACTGTGCAAGTCTAATGAATCTTTCACTTACCTGGAAGTGTATTTTGGCTGGCGAAGTTTCATGACAGATTGATCTCTTGCAACATTGATAATATATCACTTGCTAAATCTCATTTTCTACCAGCAATTAGTTTTCTTTTGACTGAGAATACAATTTCCAAATTCTTTGCTTGTTGAACATTATATAGAAATGACACTTGTCCAAGTGACATGTAAAGATAAGCATGCCTAAACTTACTACAGCAGTTTCAACCTCACACCTGGAACCAGATATTACTACTCTTATGGTTCCATGAAGGTATCTTTTTCAGAACTGAATTATTTACTAAGCATGTACTCTTTTTGTTTTGTTTTGTTTTTTTTTCCAGGAAAATCAGTAAGCAGGCAGATAGTATAAATTACCATAAAAGGAGAAATTTTAGAGGGGGGTTATTAATTTAGCNGTTTTTGATTAACTCCTTTACATTTAGTTCTGTAATTTATAACAACTTTATTTGCATACAGTTGGAAGATCAAAAAAGTATAAATGCAAATAGGGTGCCAGCAGGGAAGAACTTAATCTTCATGTAAAGTTGACCCCCCAATAGAAATAAAAATTCTATATACATACTTAAAATATATACACTATGTTGGCATCGATAAAACTATAGCAATCTAAAATGTATATAATTATATAACCAAATAATTAATTTAAGCCTAGTATGAAACAGAATCCTTAATGAGCATGTTATATAGACGTCTCTCAAAGTTGCTAACACTGACTGCTTCAACGATGTCTTTCTGTAAAGAATTCCACTCATCAATGTACCTGTGCGGAAAGGAGTACTTAAGAGTATTTGTTTGTGCATAGGGTTTCCAAATTTTATATCTGTTGTTACATCTTGTGCGGCAAGAAGATAACTTTAAATAATCATCTAGACGTACAACACAAAAGCCCTTGATATACTTAAAAAGTTGTGTTAGACTTAAAAAACTTTGACGGGTTTTGAGATCCATCCATCTTAGTTTCGACAGCCTTTTGTCGTAAGTAGTGTCCTTGCTAAGAATCCACCTAGAGGCATTACGTTGAATCTGCTCTAGTTTATCTGACAAGTATTGTTGATGGTGATTCCAAGCAGGGCACGCATATTCAATTCTCGGATGAATCACAGATATATATACCCTATTTTTATAGCTTCAGAGCATCTGCCTAAGGTGCGTTTAAGTGAGCCCAAAACGCGATTTGCTTTTGCAGCAACTGACAGAACATGGGATTTCTTTAGCTGATAGTTTTATTGTATCATTTTCATAACTTTCGAAATCCTCATCTAGAATGAAGACAGAACAGCTTTACGGGCCCGGTAAAATAATGGACCCGAAGCCATGTTTTAAAATCAAAATTTTAAAGGATAAGAAAGCAAGTTCGGACACCCAAACCAGTCCTTTTTGTTTCTTTAGCTAATAGTTTTGTTTTATCTTTTTCAAAACGTTTTAAATCCACATCTTGAATGAAAATAGAACAGCTTTATGGGCCCGTTAAGTTACCGGGACTTTCGAGAAACGGGCCCCAGACCAGAGGTTCTCTCCGCTTGCTGCTTTGCAGCTCATTGGTCGGCGCTTCACGCCGAATTCTCATACTCCGGTAGAGAGAAGAGAACTCCTGGGACCAGGGTATTGTTGAACAGGAGTAGAAATAATGTCAATAGAATCAGAGTAGTATCAGTAGCGTATCATCAGCGAACATTTCACTTGAGCAAGATAAAGTTTGCCATATGTCATTTACGTGTAAAACAAAGAGAAGGGGCCCCAAAATAGAGCCCTGAGGCACACCTGAGATGACATTTCCCCAATCGGAGAATGCACCATCAGTGACAACTCTCTGCTTTCGACCATAAAGGAAATCACTCAACCAGAGGAGAATATTGCCTTTCATTGATACCAAAAAGTTGTAGCCTTGCCAAAAGAAGTTTTGGCAACCTTCGAGTCGTTATTCGGAGGACGATAGAAAACTCCAATAAAGTACGAGTACGAAGGAACAGGAAATTAACACTTCACACCATAGCAATTCACAATCCGTTTCCAGGTCCATACGCCGAAAACACCAAATATCACTTCTGGAAGCAAACAAAACTCCTCCGCCCCTTCCTCCGCGATCCTTACGGTGTACAGTAAAAGTCGCAGGCAAAATTTCGAGGTCGTTAACGGAGTCATTTAGCCATGTTTTAGTAATTGCTTTGACATCCAGCTTCCCAATAGCGACATGAGTTTGTAAATCCAACCGCTTGTTAACGATACTGCGAGCATTGAAGGTCGAGATTCTGAGATTTTTGCGTTTTCCGGTCGCTGCTCCGCCACAAAGAATCAGAGAGTTAGGTCCTGGATTTACTTGGCTGACACTGGGTCGACATATCGATCAAGTGTCGGTCAAGTATTGATTGAGTGTCAGTCAAGTATCGATCAAGTGCTGGTTGAGTATTACCAACACTCAGTTGATACTGGGCCAACCAAATGTCGGTCAAGTCTCTTTCAATATGTCGGTCGTTAATAGAGCTAAGTACATTGGTGAATCGTATAAAGCCACTAGCTGCCACTACTTGGCTGACACATCAACCGAGTGTTAGCTGATAGTGCTGACCGATGGTATCGACTGACTCTACCTACTGTAAACATGATCTGGATTTTCTTGAAGTTTTGTTGTAATTTTTTTTGGCTAGAATTCTCCAACTTTTAGTTGTACATCAAGACACTGATCATGAGTTTACCATGCCTTTAAAAAAAAAAAAAAAAACAGAGAAGTGCAATCTGAGGATACCTAAACATGATCCTCCTTACTTAAATGGCATTATTTCTATGAATTTCTTCATGCTGCTATGTGGTTTCTAAAACGGCTCTTTCTTTCTACTACATGAAATACGAAAGAATGAAGAATTTATCCCAGTTATTTTCTAGTTTCTGTGAGATTGTTCCCCACTCAAAATAAACATTTTTTATTCATTACAGGCCTATATTTGGGAACAGTGGCATGCAATTATTGAGCCCTATGCCACCATACTGCCATATATGGTGGGTGTAGGGAACCATGAGCAGGATCACTTGAAGGGAGGATCCAAGGACCCAAGTGGGGCCCCTGGAGAAGGCTTTCATCCTTGGTGGGTAGAAGGGTATGCATATGGCACTGATTCAGGTGGTGAATGTGGGGTTCCAATGTACTACCGTTTCCACATGCCTGATAATGGAAATGCAGTGTGGTGGTAAGTCCAGATGTGGCAAAATTACTTCCTCTCCCACAAACTCAAAGTTCTCTTTGTTTCTCTTCAGACAAGTTTCTGCGTAACTCTTCACCGAACATAGAAAGGAGTATTGTCATGTTTGTTGATTAATCCAGACTTTCAAGTTAGGGTCATGAAAAGGATTTTGAAGTATTGAGACTCTTGCTATGAAGTGATCTTTTTCAATAATGCAATAAAGAAAAAAAGAAGTGACGACTTACAGTATATTCCTTTTTTTATTTTGAAAACCACATTTTTATAAAAGTTATCTCAATAAAGATGATTATTTTGGTATTTACCAACTATCTGCATGTTTGCAAGTAATGCCTGTAATGGAAAGTCACAGAAGACATTTAGTCTTAATACTATTTGCAATATTCAGGTTTTCTTTTCAGCAATGTTAATTTTTTTCTTTTGACAGGTACAGCTTTGATTATGGCAGCATCCATTTCATGATGATGAGCACAGAGCATAACTTTACACAAGGATCTCGTCAGTATGAATGGATGGAACAAGACTTGAAGAATGTCAATCGCTCTCTTACCCCTTGGGTAGTGATCGCAGGCCACAGAGCAATGTACACAAGTCAGAAAGAGGAGTGTGAGTGGGACAAATTGAATTAAGTATCAAGTCCAATAACAGCTAATAGGGACATCCTTTCCATTGTCTGAATTATTAGAGTTACTGGACTAGCATTCCATTCCTTGGGATATCAGTCTATTGTAGGTGTCCTCATCCCCACCCCAAGCATTTTGTCCACTAAAATTCACTGACATTGTCCTGATATTTTATTTATACTGCTGTTGGAGAGAGAAAGCCATGGTGCAAATAACTACCCTTGGCAAAGAACCCAACACAGTCATGACCTTCCTGAATCCATCCGTTTGACACAGGCACTTACACTTCTACATTCGCCATGCTGGCAAAATCAAGCTCGAATCAAACCCAAGATGCCTAGTGCACCTAGCATGCATGACGCAATAACAAATCTCTAACAGTCACCACATCTCACACACAGGAGGAAACCTTACCACTTTACCTGAGATACTCATTTTAAAAGGACCATTTTGCTCCTCCAGTTTTATCTCGTTGACAACTGAGGAGGCCAGTTTTTTTTTTCTGTGACTGTCATCACGTTGTTGACAATTTCGGCTCAAGAGTAGGTTCAGATTGAAGAATACTTAAGAGTAATTATCATTTCAACCACAGTTTTCAAGAGGTTCTCTTAACAAATACAGTAGGCCGCATTTGCGCACAGGCCGCACCATGTTCATTATCATTTGGAAAATCTTACCTCCTGTTTTACACTTTTTCTTCGTCTTTCTTTTGCAGGGGATTACATCGTCTCCTTGGGCATGCAGCACGCATTTGATTCCCTATTGTATAAGTACAAAGTTGATCTGGCGTTCTGGGCTCATTACCACAGCTATGAGCGCACTTGTCCTGTATACCAGCGTCAATGTACACCAGGAGCACCTGTTCACATCGTCGTAGGGACGGCAGGGAAGGAGTTGGATTTAGAGGAGTATTTTCCTGTGAGCTGGTCCTTGTATCACGAAAATGACTATGGATACGGCCGGCTGACTCAGGCAAATCGGTCTGCGCTGCTCTGGGAATGGGTTGAGAATACAAGCGGAAAGGTCAAAGATCACGTGTGGCTGACGAAGTGATGATCGCCTCATTTTGTGCCCCCCTCTATTCCTCGTTTGCTTTAAAATAGAAACTTGTGAATAGGGCAGTCTTGCACCGTGTTTCTGAAACTAATCTTTTATTGCATCACATGGGAAAATTTTGTACTCTAGTAGCACTGAAGAGAGTTTTATTTGGTTAAAGCTGTCTTTTGTGAATTGATTCATTAGAAAACTGACGGGATTTGTCCTGACAACTTCTAACAGCGGATAATCCATTTTAAGACAGACGGCCAGATTTCGAGCATAAGTTGATTAATTATCCCGTAGACTAAATTGGGTTACTCGATGCAGTGTCCAGAATACACTGAAGTGGGTTATCAGAGACATTAATCAGTTAACGACAAAGTAAACGAGAAGTTCTTCCCCTGATGGCACTAGCCAGTTTAGATGAAGAGGACTGAACACGAAAAATAACACTTTTTACCAATATTTAGCTCTATCTCGTAGAACTGAATAGGTTTTTAACCCTCTGATATGTGATGCAGATGAGTGAATGTTGTTGAAATCTTCCTATTGATTGTCTCAGTTAAGGTTATCTTACGGCTTTGTTGGGCGAGTTGGTACCCTTAATAGGTACCCGTGCTCTCCGCCCTTGTTGCACGCACCTAGCGCCTCCTCCCCGCAACCAGGAGCTCAATTCAAGGTAGCTAGTTACAGTTCCCACGTGAAAGGATCAAGCAATTGTCATGCTTTACTCTGGAGGCACAAAACGTGCTTACGCTAGATTAAGTTTGTCTTTTTTAAAACGAAATGTGCGAATAACGAAAAATCAATTTAGAAGGACGATCTTGATTAATTTCTCGTATTCTAGAGATTGTTTTCCTAGAATTCCTAGACTTTGGGATCGGGATCAACAGGATTTTTCACAGAATCAAGACTTTAGACGAAACGACTCTTGGACAAAAGACCGGATACGAACAAGAAGGGGGTAAAAGGGGTGAGGGGGCCTGGCCACGTTTTACAGCAATAATAATAAATAATACATCACGAAAAATCAGATGGAAACCTTTAAGGTTCGCCTATCGCGAAAAATAAAAAATCTCAGTTCACGGGGTTTTAAATTTGTATTTCTACTGGTTTTGAAAAGTAAAAAGATTTGACCCCATATCACGCAATAATAGTCGTTCCCTATCAGGTTTTTCGATGTCATGTCGCGAATTTGACATATGTGGTACCTACACCATCATTGTGGACAAAAGTCTCATACTGGACAATTATAAAGGAGGATGAAGTTGAAACATTAGATAATACTAGTACCTGAATAATACTAGTTTTTAACGCATAAAGGTATTTTTTAGCCGGATCGTGTACCAGGCAATACTGATGACGTATCCTCATTTTTTTATGAGAATGGAGAATAAAGTTATTTATTAAGATTTCTAGAGTTCATTATATTTTTAAGATGCTCGCTGTGTCTAATTTTATGCGGGTTCTTAATAACTCTGATATTATTTGATCATTTCATATCTAAAAGAATGAATAATAGCGTCACTGCAGCTCGAGACGATCTCTTTACTTCGTCGGAAGAGTAAAAGAGCAAGGTAGGTCTCGTGTAGGCATCATCAAAATCTATCCTGAAATTTCCATATTTTTCCTGTAAAAAACCCTCTCAAACCTTATAATGTCCCAAAAACCCGAGTTAGCTCTTTTTGAACTTGTGCCTTTCATCTACCAAGCCCTCCTGCACAGACGTCGTTAGGTGTTTGGCTCGTCACGCAATCATTCCTCCTCACCATCGTTGGTGGGGAGGAATGATTGCGTGACGTGACGACTCTAACACCAAACAACGTCTGTGTCACAGGATGCTACTCACTGACCAAAGTAATGTAAATTTGGGAATTAGAAAATGGAAGTATTGCTTTAAGGTTAGATTACAGTCACTTAATTGTAGACAATAGGCATGAAAACAGATTGGAAATTGTACTTTTGCCCGATTTCTAAACAGTGGCAAAGAAATAAAATAGTCAGTTCTCCTTAATATCATCTAAAAATCCGTAAAAATCCTTCATGCATCTTGATTTTCCTGAGATTTCCCAAAATCTAGTGATATCCTGGCCTGCGTAGCGGCTCTAGAGGGAGGGGGAAAGGGGTGGGGAGCCGAGCGGAAAGAGTCTCTCTCCGCTCGACTCCCCACCCCCCTCCCCCCTCCCTCTAGGGTCGCTACGCAGGCTAGTGATATCCTGAAAACACTTGATTGAGGAAGCCACCAAGGGGTGGAGGGGGTGTTGCGGTTTTTCCTCTCACTTGTGTCTGTACAGCTCCCCATGCATTCCGTAACATCACATGACTTCAAAATGGCGGCTGTGAGAGCTTTTGCAGCGGTTTGGATATCTATCTTTTGGGTCACTGGCATAAACTGTAAACACGACCATCCAGTTCCAACTTATTTCGGCAAACTGCATCCTAATGGAACTATTGTTGATGCTCGAAACCCGGCAAATAAGCTTAGGTTCTCCTTTCCACCGAAATCGATTACAACTCAAGATTCTACTGCTGATTTGAAAGTGTCACCTTCATCAGAGATCAAAAACGGCGAGGAGGTGAACGTGATGTGGTCTGGAGTTACATCTCCGAATAAAGAAGATGTTGTTGTTCTTTACTGTCCACCAGATGCCGAACCCGAACGTTATTTAGACTATGTCAATGTTAGCACTATAGCTACTTACCCTAAAGGTTATGGCGAGTTTAGGGTTCGACTTTGGAATGTAAGGAAGGATTGTGTATTCAGATACTTCCGGATTGGTAACTACTCATTGCTTGCAGTAGAAAGCAATCTTGTGACTTTCAAAGGAGGAGCAGAGATGCCATTGCAAGGCCACCTTGCACTCACAGGCAACCCTACAGAAATGAGAGTTATGTGGGTGTCTGGCTCTAGTAAGTTATGTAATCTTTGCAGCCAGTTACTTACGCAAGAAAAGACCCAAAATGACCTAAAATAACCTAGACAGATGTCTTGACCCTAAATGATTGATAATAACCTACACCGATAACTAAAATGATGTAGAATGACCTTTTAAACTCTAAACATTGTTATCAGTTCTTATTTACACAGTTGATATAAAGAATGATAATTTTCAGTTATCTTAAGTCCAATTATGATTTTCAATCAAACCAAATCAATGGTTAGATAATATATATATTTCCTTTCTCCTCTTATGATAATTTCATTGCTTTGATTTGTAGCAGAATTATCCATTGTAAAATATGGGACTGACCCATCAGCCATGGTGATCATGGTGGGAAATGTTAGTAAAACCTACACTGCTGCTGACATGTGCAATGCACCTGCCAATGATGTCAATATCTTTGTTGATCCTGGCTTTATTCATGATGTTCTACTGACAGACCTCACACCAGGAACCAGATATTACTACTCTTATGGTTCAATGAAGGTATCTTTATCAGAACTGAATTATTTCATATACACATGGTCTATCCAGGGTTTTTCTTAGAAAATTGAGAAGCAGGCAGATTGTGTAAAATACTGTAAGAGGAGAATACTTTCTACTTTTGAATAAAAGGGGCATCAAAATGTCCTACAACCATTTAAAGATCAAAACTCAGCTGATACCGTAAGAAGGCAACTACAAGACTTGAGCAATAGAATTGGAAAAACCATATGGCTGGTATTCACAAATAGAAATATTGAGGAGGATGGCAAGATGCGTGAAAATGCTCCCGCTAATCAACTAGCAAAGCATTGTGTATTCATTCAAATGTGGCTTGTGCAATGCAAGCTATGTTGCCTACACTCAATGGCACCCATTTGTTGCCTAACATCAGAGCTCAGCCAGAATTAGAAACCACATCAAGAGGGAAAACAATATGGAATCTCAAAGACCCTTTTACCAACTTAAAGAAGTGTTGGAGTAAACTTGACTGCCTGATATATGAAATGCTATACATCAGAGATCCTAAGCCAGTACTTAGACTCAATCAGAGTGAAACTGTTTGTTTAATTAACATAGTTTTCTAATAGTCACATGTTTTCTTGTCAAATGTCACATATTTTTCCCCCTTATAAATGCACATAATTGTAGATCCTTCTATGATGCAAAAACTAAGATACACAATGACTTGGCAATGACATCCAGTGATGTCAAAATGTCAGATATTTCTTTTGCTAATTTTTCTGTTGATAATCTTGCCTCAAGCCTTACTTATTTGGTTATTAAAATTTAAAAGGAGAATTGGGTATACAAGTCAGAGAATTCTCTGATGTCTGATGCCCTTTGAACTTCCTGCTTATTAGGTGAACTTATGGTTTTGTTAAGTGAAAATCAGTTGCAGCTAAGCATTTTTGACTCCTAACAACTATACAAGTCTAGTGAATCTTTCTCCTATGTGGAAGTGTATTTTAGCTGGTGAAGTATCAAAACAGTTTGATGGCTTCCAATACTGATACTTGATCACCTAGCACAAATGACTTTTACCAGTAATTAGTTTTTCATTTTACCAACAATAAACTTTCGTATTCTTTGCCTGTTGACATTATATAATTTGTGGCCTTTGAGCTGTTTTTGTAGACTTTTGGCTGACACCTTGGATATGATGCATTTGGGAATTGAAATCACCTTGGATATGATGCTGTTGGTTTATGGATCTAGAATTAACATGTGTCCAGGTGACAGGCAAAGATAAGCATGCCTAAAGTTGGGACTGGCCAATTACAGTACTTTCAACCATCCTCATTAAGTACCAATATTCATGATCTTAAAATACTTGAAAATTTAATTTTAAAATAACACTTGTCCAAGTGACATGTATTTAATTATTTGAATGTTTAATTTTAGATGATGAGTCCTATTCAGCATTTCAATACAGCCCCCCCTGTTGGCTCTGCAAGTAAGTTTACTGCCCTGGTTTATGGAGACATGGGGATATCCCCAATCCCACGGGCATACAAGACAGCAGATTATGCTACTGAGGAAGCTAATAATGGAACTGCAGCCTTTGTAATTCACAATGGTGATATATCTTATGCTCGAGGATATGTAAGTAGTAAAATAAATTCTGTTGATTTTTCTTCGGTTTTCAGAAGACAATGTACATTCCTTGTTATCGTGCTTGTGAGTCCATCCCTGGACGTTCCCATTATTTGTAGTGGCCTTACATATGGAAACATTGCCACAGGAACTTGTTTAGGAAAATGGCTGAAAGAAAATTTCCAAGTTTTTGTTATGACCCAAAACTCACTCCTTACATTCATCACTCAATCAGTCCTTCTTTCCACTTCTTCTTTTCACTCATGTTAACTTTTGGTCAAGTCCTTCAGTGCATGAAGCTTTCACATATTCAGTTCAAAATTGGTCAAAATTTTAATGCTCTGTGAGAAATAATGTGTATTAAACCAACAGCTAAGCTCTGAGGCCAGAAAATTTTACTGATGGTGAAAAAATTGATTGAAAGACTGCATACATAAGGTCTCAACCAAGGTTTCACCAAATCTTCCACACATAAGGCACTTGGATAAATAAGCTTTCAAGGGTGACATGCCATCTGATGAAAATGTATCCGCACCAATGAAAATGTATCAGTGCTTATGAAAATGTATCTGCGCTGATGAAAATGTATATTGATATTAGCGCAATATAAGTTAATATTTAACAATTATACCACAAGTATGCATTGGATATGAGATGATAGATAGCCAACGAGGCGCATAGCGCCGAGTTGGCTATAATCATCTCATATCCAACAAGCGCGACTGGAATAATCGTTTTATTAAAAACGCCTCCAAGAAATTATTATTTTGTAAGAGGAAACCGGATTTTTAAGCTCCCTTTTGATTTTAAGCTGACGCGTGCGCTTACCATATTTGTAGATTATGGTATATTGGCTCATATACCATAATGGCTAAGCCAATAAAAAGTCTTGAATTGCATTATCCAATGATCCAGTTTTTAATAAAAATTAATATTCTTATCTCACTTTTCAGTATTTGTAGGCCTTGCTTTAAAACCTTGTTGATGCGGAATTTGACAAATCAATCTCCAAAAAATCCAATATTGATTAAAACCCAGTGCAAAAACAGAGCATCATAGACTTGTGTACCCATTCAGTAGCTATTCAGTACCTATTTCCTTCATGGTGCAGCTTTTATTGTTTTCATACCTTACACAACAGTTCTTTAAAGAGTGAACATGAATAAAAACTTTTCACAGGTTTGTTCTAGTTCTTGTGAGATTCTTTCCCCATAAATTGGACATTTTGTATTCATTGCAGGCCTACATTTGGGAACAGTGGCATGCAATCATTGAGCCATATGCCACCATAATACCATATATGGTGGGTATTGGGAATCATGAGCAGGATCACGTGAAGGGAGGATCCAAGGACCCCAGTGGGGCCCCAGGAGAAGGCTTTCATCCTTGGTGGTCAGGGGGGTGGGGTCATGATTCATTTGGTGAATGTGGGGTTCCAATGTTCTACCGTTTCCACATGCCTGATAATGGAAATGCAGTGTGGTGGTAAGTCCAGATATAGCACGTGTATTACCTCTCCCACAAACTGTTATTATTTCCCCTCACTAAGTTTCTCTGTATCTCTTCACTGAACATAGAACTCTTGCCATGAAGGGATCTTTTTCAGCATTGCAAAGCAGAAAAAAAATGACAACTCACAAGATGATATTTGTATAGGTAATAACATGATTTTGAATGCAATTTGGTGTTAATAAGCAAAACAAAATTGCATGAGCCGGTAGAGCAAGTGCAATTTGTAGTCTTTGCAAAAATTTATATGTGCTTATTTACACCAAATTGCACTCAAAATGATGTTATTACTTATGCATGTATGCAAGTAATGTAATGACTGTAATGGACATCCACAGAAGCCTTTATACTATTTGCCACTTTCATGTTGTCTTTTTAGTCTTCTCTCATCAGAAATTATTTTTACATCAAGAAAGGATATCCTATTGGAGGATTGATGTACATTGCACCTCTTTGAAAAGGTTAATTTTTTTTTCTCTTTTTGACAGGTACAGCTTTGATTATGGCAGTATCCACTTCACGATGATGAGCACAGAGCATAACTTCACACAAGGATCTCGTCAGTATGAATGGATAGAACAAGACTTGAAGAGTGTCAACCGCTCTCTCACCCCTTGGTTAGTAATCGCAGGCCACAGAGCAATGTACACAAGTCAGAAAGTGGAGGGTAAGTGGGACAAATCGAATAGAACCAAATATCAAGTCCGATAACGAGCCAAGAAGCACATTCTATCCAATTACTGAATTACTAATTTTACCACAGTTGGCAGTAATGTTGCAATCTGATTGGCCAATTTGCTGTTGTCGATAAGAGTACCGTATTTCTTCACCTATAAGCCGATCTCGGCTATAAGCCGAGACCCTGACTTTCAGGGTCTTTACGCTACACTCAAGCTGCCCAAAAAAAAAGGTAAAACCATCGGCTATAAGCCGAGAGCGAAATTATTGATTGTAACTGGCCATTTGAGCAAGCGAACCTCACGGAAAACATAAGAAATTGACTCACTAAACACAAAACCTAATGAATTACAATAAACACAAAAGAAAAAAAGCGAACCAATCAAGAGATATGAATATCAATTGATCCAACGAACTGTATAAATACTACCACGCGACAACAGATTAACCACAACAACAATAATAATCTCAGTTAAACGTTTCAAAGTATCAATCTATCGAGTATACCTTTCGTCGCTGTCACTTTTTATCATCATGCCTAAAGCACGCCGTTCCTCGTATAGTATGGCTTTCAAGATAAAAGTTATCGCGGAAGCTGAAGCGGTAGAAAACAACTCGGAAATCGCTCGAGAATATGGACTAAGCGAGTCCATGGTACGACGCTGGAGAAGAGACCAGGCGACTATTCTTTCCGGAGAGCTGAAGATGTCTGCAAAACGTGCGACGATGGGCCGTTTCACTCCGAAATATCCCGAACTAGACCAGCAAGTGATGGAGTGGTTTTCACAGCAAAGAGAACAAGGTTGGTATTTACTTTTCTGTCTAAAATTTTAAGAGTTTTTGAAGAGTTGAATGATATCGTCTTTCAGTGCGTGGGAAACAGAGACTTTGATTGGTCAGAAATATGTTGTTGTCATGACAATTTCATAACATGTCACGAAAAGAGTGCTGCAGTCACGAATCTACGGTTATCTCGCAGCAAAATAAGATTGTTATTTTATTTTTCGTAGGTATTGCGGTGAGTGGATTGATCCTTCGCCTTAAAGCTAAAGAGCTCTCCGATGATCCTGCTTTCAAAGCTTCCCGTGGATGGTACGAGAAATGGAAACGACGCCACTCGGTCAGCATGCGAACCAAAACAACTCTGGCCCAGCGATTGCCCGCCGATCTCGAAGAGAACATTGTGTGCTTTCATCGCTTCGTCATTGCAGCAAGAAGACGCGCCGACTACCCTTTATCCCGCATCTACAACATGGATGAGACACCCATGCGTTTTGAGCTGCCATCGAACCGAACACTGGAATTCAGTGGAAGCCGAACAGTGCCAGTAAAATCTTGCGGAGCGGAAAAGCGGAGCTTCACCGTCGTTCTTGCTGTTGCTGCCGATGGAGCAAAGGTGCCACCGAAAGTCATCTTCAAAGGCGTCCGTACACCGAGAGATCTGGTTGTGCCGCATCCTCTTCGTGTTTCCTTCCATAAGAAAGGGTGGATGGATGAACAGGGCATCCGAGAATGGATTCGACAGAGTTTGCCCCGTGCCGAGCGTTCCCTTTTGGTGTGGGACTCATTCCGAGCTCACTTGACCGATTCCGTGAAAGATGACCTGAAGCAGCGAAACATTGACGTCGCAGTTATCCCTGGTGGCCTAACCCCGGTTGTACAGCCCTTGGATAAGTGCCTAAACAAGCCATTTAAAGATAATGTGCGCCGAAAGTACTTGGCGTGGATGACATCTGGGCCATTTGAGTTTACCCCAGCTGGGAAGAAGAAGGCGCCAAGCAGAAATCTTGTCCTCAGGTGGATCAAGGAAGCATGGGCAGAGATACCCGAAGAGATGGTTGTCAAATCCTTCAAGACCTGCGGTATTTCCAATGCCTTGGACGGAACAGAGGACGACGTGGTCTACTCTGAGGAAACCCCAGAAGTAGATGATGAATACATAGAAGAGAACGAGTTCGACACAGACAGCGAAAACGAAACGGATGGCGAGTAAACCATTGGGTTGAAAGCCCTTGCACGTATCCGTCAAACGGCTCCTTTAGGAGCCACCAATTTCATAAAAGTGAATAACCAATATTCAGAAGTTATTTTTGTTGTGTTTTATTACTTCTGCTTCATTGCTAACTTGACTACAAGCCGGGGGGGTAAAGTTATTCAGCAACTGTATATTTTTAAAATGTAAAACCCTCGGCTATAAGCCGAACCCCGTTCTCCGTGAAAAATCTCCCAAAATTTTGGGTCGAAAACTGAAAAAATCGCTCGGCTTATAGGTGAAGAAATACGGTATACTGCTTGAGTTAAAATGTCAAGAGAGAGAGGCCATGAATGAACTCAACACAGTTACATGGCCAGTGGAAAAACCGCTCTGGGTATAGAGAGAGTGACGGTGATAATAAATTTTCATGGCAAAGAACTCTACACAGCCAGTTACTTTAACTAAATCCACACCTTTCATCCTGGAGTCCAGGGCACTAATTAAAAGGCCACCTCATCTCACACACTGGAGGAAACCTTAATAATTTACTCGAGATATTCATTTTCAAGAGTAGGTTCAGAGTGAAGAATAATACAATTTTTTTTCCAACCACAGTTTTCATTGGCTAATAAACAGAGGTTCCTATTAGGCATATTACCAAATATGTCTTGTTTGCAAATGGCAATTAATGTGATCATTATTTTTATCCTCATTATCATTATGTTTATTATCGTTAAAAAATTATAGCCCATGTTTAACACTTTGCCTGTTTTACTTTTGCAGTGGATTACATTGTATCCCTGGGCTTGCAACTAGCACTAGATTCCCTATTGTATAAGTACAAAGTTGATCTGGCTTTCTGGGCTCATTATCACAGCTATGAGCGCACGTGTCCTGTATACCAGCATCAATGTACACCAGGAGCACCTGTGCACATCGTCGTAGGGACGGCAGGGAAGGAGTTGGATACAGAAGATTATTTTCCTGTGAGCTGGTCCTTGTATCACGAAAATGACTATGGATACGGCCGGCTGACTCAGGCAAATCGGTCTGCACTGCTCTGGGAATGGGTTGAGAATACAAGCGGAAAGGTCAAAGATCACGTTTGGTTGACAAAGTGATAATCATTTTCATTGTGAGCCAACCCTAGTTCGGTTTAAAAAGAACAATAATGTGTGAACAGAGCAGACTTAAAGCTGTATTGTTAAAACTGATTTACCATTATATCTCAGTAGAAAAATTTGCACTTTAGTAGCACTGTATAGACTTTAATTTGGTCAATACTGTCTTTTGGGATTGATTTATAATGGTAGTTAAACTGAGTGGAATGCAATCTGGTGTGAAAATCATACGTGTTTTTAAAATCCAACCAGCGCGCAGCGCGTATTTGAATTGAAATCATAAGTACGAATTTAGATCAAAATTGCACTCCACCCAGTTCAATTAACACTTAATTACATCCCTTTTGAAATCGCAAAACTCATTCGCTCAAGCACAGGATTTTTTAGTGTGTACAAATAGTTTATTGATTCAGTACTGAGCTGGTTGGTTTGAAGCTGCAAAAGTTCTCTTTCCTTTTTCCTCTATTATTATTGGTTTCTTTGAAAAGGCCTTGAAATCTGATCGGTTGTATTACAGTAAAGGTTTCTCACTGGCTGGGAAAAGATGTGATTTCAAACAAAAAATGCTGGGATTCCTGAATAAATCGTACCAATGAGAGCCAATAAGATTGCAAGGATCACCAGTGATTTCAAAATGGATGTAATAAAAGAGAGAACTAACAGGATTTCTCCTAAATTAACAACTGACAATCTGTTTTAAGACAGACAACCAGATTTTGAGCATAAGTAGATTAATCATGCCGATTAATTCTGCCGATTGAGTTAACCTATGCAATATCCAGAACACACCGAGGTGGGTTTTCAGAGACATGTGAGTTACCAATATTAAAGCGAGAGGTTCTTCCTCTGACGGCCCCAATTAGTTTAGTTGAATTGAGAAGGACACTAAGCCTCTAATGTGTGACGCAGAAATTGCTTTTCTGAAACATAATACTAGAACGTAACAATGTATTAACTTTTCTGTCCAAGACGGCCCAAACCAACACCTTACTCCTCGTGAAATTTTAAAATGATTTCCCAGTTTATCAACTTCGCTCGTTCCTCTGTGAAATTGATCCGGCCTTACCTTATAGCTTCCGGTAAGGCAAGAAACTTCCTAAATGAATCCGCAATAGTTAGACAACACGCCGTGGAAAATAAACAAGTTTCACAAAAACCCATCGATTAAGATAAACCCGTCGCTATCCTCCTTTTAAGGGTTAGCGGCAAATCAGAAATCCTTTTATTCGGATCGCGTAATCTGCGATGGGCCAGGCAATTGAGTTTCAGTAATGATACAATCGAAATTTATCACATTTTACGTCGAAAAGTCGTCGATCTTACTGCATTCTGGGGTAACTGTGATTGCATTTTGCATGGTAACAGATTTCTGTATACAAGCCCATGTAAATTAGCGACCAAGTGTTAGAAACCAGGGAAGGGGGCGGTGGAGGTGACAATTTATTGTCAGCCCGGATTAGCTTTTGGGTCAGCAACTACATAAATGAAAATTGAGGACATTTCAACCCCTCTACACACTCGTGACCGATAAAATCCTGCAAAAAGACCCGCACTATTTTTTTTTTTTATTGTAGTAGGTCACCAAAGTAATCAATAAGTTCTTTTTCAGTGTTTGTGTTCGGTGAGAAGACTAGAAAAGTAACCCTGTACAACACACTATTCGTAGCACCTCCCCCATCCACGGTCACCCAGTTTTAGGCAAATCACACAATCACATCCACGTCACACAATTTCAGACACATCACGCAACCTTTTCAGGCAGAGACCTGTTAAGCTCCGTTTGGTAACAACAATGATATAAAAGCTCCGGTGCTGCAACAACCTGAAATAATAACATGGCAGCTTGGTGGGCTCGTCTGTTGGCGTATTTCCTTCTTGGCCTGTTTTCAACGACAGAACTAAAGAAAAACCACGGGGCACCCACTTATTTCAAACGCATCAATCCAGATGGCTCACTGGTAGACGCCGGCAATCTCAAAACTCGTGTAGAATTTGCGAATCCAATTCGAAGAGATTTTTCTACCGTTGCTATTCTGGAGGTCAATCCGTCTTTGGTGGAAAATGGTGCCATTGTGAACGTTTCTTGGAATGGAATACAGCAGCCAAACAGTTCGGATATTATTGCGTTTTACTGCCCTGAAGAGGATCATCCTGCTCGTTCTTTGGACTTGTTTTACGTGACAGACTCACCAAGTTATGTCTCTGGCTATGGCTGGAGACAGGCAGGTCACTGTATTTAACATGAGAACCAGCTGTGAATTCAGTTATTATCAGGAAAGAAGCATCCACGTAGCCACCAGTAATGTTCTAGAATTTAAGGGAGGGGTGTATGCTCCTCTACATGGTCATCTGACTCTTACAGGCGATCCAACGCAGATGAGAGTTATGTGGGTGTCAGGAACAGGTATAATCATTGTTATTCCATTTGTTTAGTAAAGTGTTAAGCTTCAAATGGATTTTCACTTTCGATCCAACTTTTCGCCAAACGCTAACTTCTCCTTGAACATTCAACGATGACTGAGCAGGTGATCAGCTTGAAAAAGAGGCCGAGCATTGAAGATTATGATTATTATAAGAGGTGCTAAAAGATATGTCAATCGATGGTCTCGTAATAGTGGTGTCTCGTGACCCCACCTGATGTGCAGTTGACACTAGCTGACGTACTCCTCGAAAAAGGGAGTTTGGGTTTTCGTCGAGGGTCGAGGGTCGAGGGTAAAATGTCGAGGGTCCCAGAAAAGTGTCGAGGGTCCATAAAAAACTAAAAATCGTAAATATAAAAAAAATGAAATGTCGTGAAATGTCAGAGGAAACTCAGAAATTACATATGGATAAATTCCAGACATGTTGTGACTTATTGTTTTTGTATACTTTCACGCTTCATTTACACAGCTTCCACAAATGCACCCGCAACCGCAAATAAATAGATGCCGGCTGATCGAGGTCAAGCTTAACTTTGTGGAAAGCGTGACTAAGCAATTCGTCCATCGAATTAAGCGCCTAAATCTCGCAGTTTCTGGGTTTCCATCCACCGTGAAGTCATAAGCAAAAAAACTCGAACTGAGGAACAGCAAATAAAAAAATGATTTCGCAACCAGAGATGCGCTAATGGAGGGGCTTTTAGCAACGTCTGACAATAGATTATATATATATTTTAACGATTACTTCCTAACTGACCGACGAATATCAATGTAGGAAATGTACGGCAAAGGCTATTTTAGTAATACATTTAACTGAAACGAATCCAGTACTTGATGGCAACGGGCATCCAGAGAGTTGTATAGATGTGTTGAGATTAAACAAGGCCAGTAAATAAAGGATTTTTGCACTTAACGTGAGATATGTTGGCATGGTAGTGTTTGTTAAATCACTACCGTATATCAAATTTCCAGCAGAATTCTTGCCTATAACTCGCCTGTCGATATGTTTTATGACTAAATTATTAGGAGCATTTCTGAACTTTTCGAAAAA